CCCCAACATAATCACACCACAGCCCACTGCCCCAGTATAACTACATCTGAACCCCAACATAACTACGCCTGAACCCACTGCCCCAGCATAACCACACCACAGCCCACTGCTGCAGAGTCACTTCTGACTCCTAGCTGCCCTCCAGCAGGTTCCCAAAGCTGTCAATCTTACAGGAGTCGTCTGCCCTCTTTCTCCCTTGGAACAGGTGGAGGATTTGCACCTGTGCCTTTGGTTAGCAGTCAGGCATGGGAAGCACTGTGCTTCCAGAGCTCCTGGGTGTACAGTACATGCACTGTGATACCAACATTCCATGGGGAGTTACCAGGGGGAAAACAGCGCTCTTTTCTGAATCCACTGCTGGCCAGTGCATCCTGTTTCTTAGACCTGCTGGTCAGAGTAGAAATGCCGTGGGCTTTCCAAGGCTGGAATCATTACTGAAGCAGACTGCTACATCTTTTTCCCATCCAGCAGCTGGTCACTTTGAGCTCCAAGTCCCTGGTTAGCAGTTGAACATGTGACTCTGGTGCCACCAAAAACTCAGAGCTGTCAAGTTGGGACTGACTCAGCTGCCTCTCTGTTGGGTTTCTGAGGCTGTAAATCAAGCAGGAGCCACTGGTGGGTTTGGACTGCCAGAGAAGCTTGGTCTCTGGCTTAGCGGTGCAACTCCCTACAGACCAGACCAAGTGTTTTAAGGCAGTAATAGGGGGGAGGTGGGTATGTATTGAAAAACACTGCTGTAGATAAATGAGGGTAGTAACCATCCTATAGATTTGTGGAAGAGAGAAGAGAGAGGTTCTATGGATGTGCAGTAAAAAGGAGGTCTCTTTTTCAAGGGGTTGCTTCTCCTAAGAAACCACTTCCTGTTCCGTCTGCACTCCTAAGGGGGAGCCTGGCAAGCCCGGCCCCCGGATGGTGACGCCTGGAAGGCCTGGCGGCTCTCAAAGGGGCTTTGTTCCCGAGCTTGGCTGTCAAGACAGTGTGGCTTTCTGAGTCTGATCGCACTAGAAATCTGTACCTCGAGTCAGATGCTGAGTTTTTTGTTTCTGGACATCGGCTTTTAGAAACAGGGTTTCCTAACCCCTGGTGGTGGCTGTTTCCATTTCTAACCTTTTATACCCCCCCCCCAAAAGTGCCCACATCATTAGGGAGCCCTCCGACTTTTAGGCATTAAGTTCACCCTCTTAGCCAGCACTCAGGTACCAAAGCTGACTGCTACCACCCCCGGGGTCCCAGTGCAGGTGACCTCTCTCCTGGTGGCTAGCTCTGTGGCTCAGCTGCACCAGGCAGGGCCAGTCTGGTTCATTTCATGTGACCCTCTGCAGGCAGACCCCTGCAAGCAGTGTGTGCCCGGTGCTGGGACGTCTCCACTGTGAGCCACTCTGCTTGCAGACCTCCCCTAGATCCTGCTGATCGGTTCCAGTGATGAGCTCCTTCTTCACATAGAGCATGGGGTCTCCAGACTACCACGAGACCAGAGACCAAACAGGGCTCCTGCACTGGCAGATGGGCTGCCTGAGAGCCCTTTCCTTGGTCCCCTCAGGACACTCAGCCTTTCAGGAACCTGCGGCCTGCTGTCTTAGAGCTTCTTTATATCCTTCCTTTAAGCCACAAGTGAGAGAGGCCTGCTGGTAAGGCTTTTGGAGCCCAGACCTTTCCTGGTTACTGTGTGTGAACAGAACAGAGTGCTGTCTATGGAGAGGGTTCCAGGACAGTGCGGAGAGTAAACAGGTCTAAGTGGGAAGTCAGAGGCTCAAGTTCACCTAGAGGTGCATGGCTTCCCTAAGGTCACAGCTAGAAAGGGACAGGGTGGGGATTCCGACACTGAGCAGAGGCTGATGGATCAGCGTGTTTCAAACCTATCTGCCCATAGTAAGAAAGAAGGAAGGATGGAGGAGCAGAAGAGGAAGGCAGGATGAAAGGGAAGGGGGAGGGAGGGAAAGGGGGGAGAAAAGGGAAGAAGCTGGAGGGGAGGGTCGGAAGAAGAGCCAAGACCTGCCTCCCCATTCCACTTCACGTGGACCCTGCAGGCCATGGGGCCGCTGGGGGCCAGCTGATGTGCGCTCTCTGCCGCAGGTGTACCACGGGGCTGAGCCCTTGACCATGGTGCTGAAGGCCATGGGGCCGCTGGGGGCCAGCTGATGTGCGCTCTCTGCCGCAGGTGTACCACGGGGCTGAGCCCTTGACCATGGTGCTGAAGGCCATGGGGCTGACGTGCACTCTCTGCCGCAGGTTTACCACTGGACCGAGCACTCGACCACGGTGCTGCAGCGGCTGAATGAACAGCGCCTCCGCGGCCTCTTCTGTGATGTTGTGCTGGTGGCGGATGAGCAGCGCGTGCCGGCCCACCGCAACCTGCTGGCAGTGTGCAGTGACTACTTCAACTCCATGTTCACCATCGGCATGCGGGAGGCCTTCCAGAAGGAGGTGGAGCTGGTGGGCGCCTCCTACATCGGGCTCAAGGCTGTGGTGGACTTCCTGTATGGCGGCGAGCTGGCGCTGGACGGCGGCAACATCGACTACGTCCTGGAGACGGCGCACCTGCTGCAGATCTGGACGGTGGTGGACTTCTGCTGCGAGTACCTGGAGCAGGAGGTGAGTGAGGACAACTACCTCTACCTGCAGGAGCTGGCTTCCATCTACAGCCTCAAGCGGCTGGACGCCTTCATCGACGGCTTCGTCCTGAGCCACTTCGGCACGCTGTCCTTCACGCCCGACTTCCTGCAGAACGTGTCCATGCAGAAGCTCTGCCTCTACCTGGGCAGCAGCCAGGTGCAGCGGGAGTGTGAGCACGACCTGCTGCAGGCCGCCCTGCAGTGGCTGACGCAGCAGCCGGAGCGGGAGGCCCACGCCTTCCAGGTGCTGGAGAACATCCACTTCCCGCTCATCCCCAAGAATGACCTGCTGCACCGCGTCAAGCCGGCCGTGTGCGCGCTGCTGCCCAAGGAGGCCAACTGCGAGGGCTTCATCGAGGAGGCCGTGCGCTACCACAACAGCCTGGCCGCGCAGCCCGTCATGCAGACCCGGCGCACGGCGCTGCGCACCAACCACGAGCGCCTGCTCTTCGTGGGCGGCGAGGTGTCCGAGCGTTGCCTGGAGCTCAGCGACGACACCTGCTACCTAGATGCTCAGAACGAGCAGTGGGTCAAGGAGACGCCGCTGCCCGCCCGGCGCAGCCACCACTGCGTCGCTGTGCTGGGTGGCTTCATCTTCATCGCCGGCGGCAGCTTCTCACGGGACAACGGAGGGGATGCGGCCTCCAATCTTCTTTATAGGTATGACCCCCGCTGTAAACAGTGGATCAAGGTGAGATTAAAGCCAGATTATTTCTTTACTCTTGAGGACTCTTGTTGATTTCCTAGCCTTCACTTCCTCTTGCTCTTTCTGTCCTGACCCCCTGTCCAGTTTCCAACAAGGTGTGATGATCACATGGGAAGTCCCCCCCTGGCTGGGGACCGCTGAGTGATACCCAGTAGGACTTTCCCTGCTGGTGGAAATGCCCGTCTTTCCTCTGTGCCTTGTGGAGCGGTGGCCACCAGACCTGTGGCACTACATTTTCCATTTGGCATCATTTTCATGCTTTAGTTTCCATTGGAATTTAAGGCGAATGGCAGTTCTGCACTGGTGGTTGCCATGTTGGATTGTGGAGGTCTAGAGAATGCTCTGGGTCCCTGCCACTCTGGGGAGCCCACCTGGGGACGTTGGGCCTCAGAGGTTCACATGGCGGTGTGGTTTTGGCCCTGCACCCAGTGTGACCCAGACATGGGGAGGGTATGGCCCTGGGGACAGACCTGAATTCCCATCCCATTCTCACCTGGTCACACCGTAGCTTGGGGCTTCAGACTGGTTTCCTGCCTTCCCCAAATTCCACCTTCTGTTTGTGGAAAGAGTGTGTGCAAATGCTGACCCTCTGGGGTCAGTAATCTGTATTCCCTTCCCCCAGGAGTCTCGGTCCAGGCCACCACCCTAAATCCATGCCTCCTGCTTTGTGCTCACAGCTCAGTGTTGCCCATGACTCTCACTTCCTGGGCTCAGAGCGTACTCCAGACGACCTCTCAGGTTTATTCCTCCTTCCACACTCTGACCCTGGTCACCAGGAAGAAGGGTCAGGTGGGCGTGTTCTCTCCGCTGTGGCCTCTGCCCCCCCAGGGCTCTTCAGGAGTGGCAGCCTTGATGGCCGCCGTGGGCCGTGTCCACGATGCTTTCCTGCGTGGGTTGTAAAAGCCTTCGGTGCTTCTGCTTTCCCTCCCTACCGGTGCGTTTGGCTGTTGGCAGCATGCTGGCCGTGAACAGTAATAAAAAGTTACTTGAAGGGGGAAGAGGGTCAGTGATGTTTTACCTCAGGAAACCCCTAATCAGCAGCTCTGAACCACGTATCCAGTACTGTTCTAGCTGACCGGGTGGGTCAGATGCCTCTTTGAAGGCTGTGTGTTTTGCCCCCTTTTGGGTAGTCATGATGGTTTTTGGGGACTCTGAGGAGGCCCTTGTTGAGGTGAACTCACTTGGCTGCCAGAACCTCTTCTGGGCCCATGCTCCTCAGAACACACCTGGGGACCGAGGTGTGAGATACAACGCTGGTTCAGTTCTGGGAAGGGAAGGTACAAGCGTCTCACCTCCACAGGTGGCCTCCATGAACCAGCGCCGAGTGGATTTCTACCTCGCCTCCATTGAGGACATGCTGGTGGCCGTCGGCGGCCGGAACGAAAACGGAGCGCTGTCATCGGTGGAGACGTACAGCCCCAGGACTGACTCCTGGTCCTACGTGGCTGGCCTGCCCAGGTGACAAGCGGGTGTGAGGGTTTCCATGGGTGACCATCAGCCCACTGCCCTTGCTGGCTACTCCTCGCTGGGTCTGATGCCAGAAGGATCTGGCTGGTACAGAGGAGGCAGAAGGTGTGGCCTCAAGGAGCCTGGCTGTGGTTCAGGCTGCAGGGTGCAGGCCTTGGGTGGCTCCGACAACTAGCTGATGGAGGTGGTTCCGACTCATCCAGCGGCAGCCAGGAGGAAAAGTCAGAGATCTGCTCCCAAAAAATCAGCCCTGGAGGACCAAGCTCTCCCCTGACACACATGGTTCCCCATGGGTCATCTGACTCAACAGCTGCTGGTGGTGTTTTTAGGGCCTGCTCTCTCCTAGAACACTCTTCCCTCCATAAACGAGTCCATTCAGTTCCTGACGGTCAGAGAGTGGGTATTGACTGAGTTCAGGTAGTGAGTTCACGAAGGAGCCCTTCTTCATGGTGGTTTAGTGCCAGACTGCTAACTGAAAGATCAGTGGTTCAAATCCACCAGCTGCTTCCTAAGGAAAAGGGCTGGCAGTCTACATACATAAAGATTCAAGCTTGGGGAACCCATGATGCAGTTTGACTCTGTCCTTCAGGGTCACTGTGAATCAGAATGGATGTGGCAGTGGAGTTAGCGAGCTCAAGTGGGAAGTGGGGTTCAGAGGGGGGAAGTATGCTGGCAGCCCAGAGGTCTCTCCTCAGAATCCCGGCTTGCCCACCCAGCTCACCACCCCTGGTCCAATGATGACAGCCATCTAGAGATGGTTTCTGGGTGGGCCCACTGCTCTGAGTCTTGTGTTACCAATTTCACACTACCCCTAGGAGACAGGTCACTCCCATTTTACAGAGGGGAAGACTGAGGCAGCCTTTGGAGGTTGAACCCTCTGTCTGTGTCCACCCGTGTCCCTGCAGGTTCACGTATGGCCATGCGGGCACCATCTACAAAGACTTTGTCTACATCTCAGGGGGCCATGACTACCAGATCGGCCCCTACCGCAAGAACCTGCTGTGCTACGACCACCGGACGGACGTGTGGGAGGAGCGGCGGCCGATGACCACGGCGCGCGGCTGGCACAGCATGTGCAGCCTGGGCGACAGCATCTACTCCATTGGGGGCAGCGACGACAACCTCGAGTCCATGGAGCGCTTCGACGTGCTGGGCGTGGAGGCCTACAGCCCCCAGTGCAACCAGTGGACCCGCGTGGCGCCCCTGCTGCATGCCAACAGCGAGTCGGGCGTGGCCGTGTGGCAGGGCCGCATCTACATCCTCGGGGGCTACAGCTGGGAGAACACTGCCTTCTCCAAGACTGTGCAGGTGTACGACTGTGAGGCCAACAAGTGGAGCAAGGGCACCGACCTGCCCAAGGCCATCGCCGGCGTGTCCGCCTGCGTCTGTGCCCTGAAGCCGCAGCTGGAGGACAAGAAGAAGAAAGGCAAGAGCAAGAGGCCCCAGGACCGGGGTCAGTGACAGCCGGCGCCCCGCACCCTCCCCCGCCGCTCACGCCCTGTCCCCAGGATCTGGGAGACACCGTGCACTGCTTAGCTGCTTTCTCATAGGATTCTTGGTCTTTCTATGATACCACAGTAACCGATAGAGAAATATGATAGAGAACTTTGCATATTATCTCGCTGAATTTGGAGGGCTCTTCCTCCCAGGACACCAGTTACCCCGAGAGCACCCAGGCAGAGGTCACCTGAATATCTTCCTGTGAAACGCAGGACCTCGGAGGGACATGTAAGACTGCCTGGCTCACCCCGCCTCCCTGCCATAATACCTGGCTGAACTTTTACAAACACAGGTGCCGGGGCCCCACTCAGAACTGCCAAGAGTTGGGGAGGGGGCCTTGAAAACCTGGATCGGCTGAGCTTCAGCCACCTTTGGGCCTCACAGTCAGGGTCAAGCCTGTTTGTTTTCACAGTGAGAGCCTGGAGACCACCAGGGCTGAGTGAGTGGCCCAGGGCTGTGCAGCTCTCTGGACAGTTGGGGCACCTACTGGTCTTTTGCCGTCAGTAACCCATTTCTGAATAACCCGTCCTTGACTGGTCATCTTCCTAACTCTTCCCAGAGTTAGGGATGCAGGGAGAAGCGGGCACAGGCCTGAAGCTCTCACAACCCTGACTCTCTAAGTTGGCCCTTTTCCTTTGGTTTTGTTTCTGTGTTTTTCTGAACCCACTGTTTGTTATGTCGCGGGTGTGCTGGGGTCCCAGAACCCACATCCATTTCTCTGGAAGGAAAACGTGAGCTCTGCCAAATCTGTTGCCATCATCTGGGCCTCTGGCACCGAGATGCCACTGCACGCTCCACGTAGACAGACGCGCTCTGGGCCCCGAGAAGACGGCAGTCTGTCTGCTGCCTGTGGAGGGACAGATCCTGGGCCCAGCTGTCAGCTTCACTGGACGAGTACATTCAACGGTCTTGAGTCTGTTTCTTCACTCAGCAAGGGACCAGGTTGGAGGAAATAGTCAAGTTCCTTCAGGGGTTAAGTCCCTGGACATCAACTATTCGTGTTCAAGGCTTCCTTTAGGATATAGAAGGGCCCTGATGGCACATTCAGATTAAGCTTTTGTGACCTGGAAGGTTAGCAGTTCAAACCCACCAGCCAGTCCATGAGGAAAAGTGAAGCAGCCGGTGCCTACGAATCCACACAGCCTTGGAAACCCCGTGGAACAGCCCTACCCTGTCCTCTGGGGTCACTGTGAGTTGGAATGGACAGCAGGGGGTCAGGATGCAGAGCTGCGAGGCACTGGCCTACGGACAGGTTCTAGACCAGGAGCAGCTATGCATGCCTGGGCTGGGTGTATGACGTCAGCGAGGTGCGAAAGGAGGCCCTGGTAGGGCTGGTGTTAATCACGGGCCAGGAAGGCCAGGAATGCTCTGTGCCTTGGCAAAGGGGGGAAACAGTCGAGATTTACGACGACTAATGATGTGAGACCACGTAATCTCAGTTCCTCCATTTGTCTAGACTCTTTGCCATGGTGTCTTCACTGTCCTTCCCTGGTGGTGGTGAGTCGGCCTGGCCTGCCTCCCAGGAGAACCGAGGAGGACTCAGGACCGGAAGCTTCGATGCCCAGTGCCCCCGCCCTCTGTTGGCTGAGTCATCTACATCGTCAGCTGGTGACTTGCCGATGGAAATCCCTAGAGGCTGACACACTGATGAGGTTGTGTAAGTTGTTCTTAGAGCTCCAGCACACGCCAGCATAGTCAAGGCTCTGGGCAGTCCTGCATTTGCTGGTAACTTCCTATCACCCCAGCCTTTCAAGGTTCTTTTAAGCACGAGATGCTTTTTGGCCTCATACGTAGTCCCAGACCTTCATCAAACATGTTTTGCAGAACTGCCACCTACTTGGAGGGCCTTACGCCCTTCTCCTCCCGAGAGAGGTTTCTTTGCTGGATTGTTATTACAGGGAAGACATCTGTGTGGTCCGGACGCTCAGTGGGGTCATGAGCAGCAGGCAGCTGACCACCGGAATCGGGGGGTAAGGGAGAGCACACAGCAACAGCCCACGCTTGGGGTGGGAGCGGGGTGGCCGTGGACTTTTAGTGTCGGCCACCATGTTTTTGGCCCTGGGTCTTTCCCCAAGCTCAGTGTGCCATGCCGGTCACTGTCATCTATTCCAGTCATCCTGGGTCTCTGGGTTACATAGGAGCCCTGGTGGTCTAGTGGATTAAGGGTTGGGGTGCTAACCAAAAGGTCAGTTGTTCCAAACTACCAGAAGCTCCATGAGAGAAAGATGAGTGGTCTACTTCTGTAAAGCCTTGGGAACCTTGGGGGGCAGTTCCCTCCTCTCCGGCAGGGTCACTGTGAGCTAGCCGGAATGGCCTCAACCACATGGGTTCCATTCCCTTGCTTGTGGGTTACCTCATGAGTTCCCCATCTGCTCTTTGGGGTACCTCTCCTGACACGTTTAAGGTTGTCTGTAATGGAAGTGGATACTGCACGTTCATATAAAGGCAAGGATAAGTGTCGTTTAACAGACCAGTTTCAAATAACTTTAATGGTTGCACCATGACAAGATAGACTTTGGGCTTGGCGGGGCCTGTGGAAAGATGTGGAGACACATCGTGCCTGATCAGCAGCGTGGTGGTTACCTGTTCCAGCTGCCTGTTACTCAGATTTAAAGGATGGAAGAAAATCGTCTCCTAAGTAGTCAAGCAGAGAATGGAAAAAACTGGTTTTTAACCCAAACGGGTGGGGCTTCGGGTTTGGGGCCGTTTGAGCTGTAAGAAGGCAGTGTTGTTACAGACCACAGTGATGGAGCCCTGGGTTCCTGCCCTCTCAGTCCTCTCCATCCTCAGACAACTAGAGTTTGACCTGCATTTTAATGTACAGGCTTGAGGTCTGCTCTTACCCTGGTTTGCTTAAGACACAGGAGGGAAGGAGAGTCGGCAGGCGGAAGCAGCCCGTTCCCATGGCAGCCTCCCTGCTGGTTAAAGTCTGTGGCACCGGCTGGTCAGTTCACCTGGCCCCTTGCTCACCTTATCCCATTCCAGGAGACCACCAGGTGGGACCTGTGCACCTCACTCTGAATGGGAACCATGTGTGTGTTCTTTTGTTCTGAACACCCCTCCCCCTGCCCCCAAAAGACCTGATGGGGACTTGGAGAACCCAGAAGCCAGCCCCTAAGTGTGTTCTATTTGAGTAAGAATGTCAAAGGGTCACAGCTCCCGACCAAGCGGAGGCCTAGAACTGTGGGCTTGGGCTGGAATCTCAGACCACTGCACTGTCTTGATCCTGGAGGGGCAGCTACCCTGTGGTCTGGACATCCCAGGTGTCCCTGGAGGGACGGGCAGGGGTAGGACAAACTCCACAGTGTCATGGGCAGCCCTGAAGTCACGTGGCAATCCTGGCCTGTGCTCTACAGAGCCTGGCAGTTTTTAGAGTTTTTTGAAATGTTTTGATACTTTTTGATAACATTTGCTATTAACTGTTTTATAGACGGCCTGCTGGGGGTTGCCATCTCACCCCTTCTTGCCCCTTTGGGTTTGTTCTTGACAACGAACTCCCTATGGATCTTGCCCCAGGCGGCCCTGTCATGGACCCTGCCCTCCTCCAGGGCAGTGATCAGATACAGCATTGGGGTTTTGTAAGGTCACATGTGGCCGAGGATTTCCTCCCAAGCTCCTACCTCAGTGGTGTGCACAGAGTTCACAGGGTACCTGAGGTCTGATCCATGTCTCACTTTTCTCATACGGGTCCTTTCTCACCCCGGAGTGTGGCTCAGGCCTGATCTGCACCCCTCCACCTTGCCTTTTCAGGGCACCTTCATGTAAAATACGAGAACTGTCCTTGCACTTTATAGAATCACTGTCCTCAGCTTCTCAATCGTTCATTTCTTTGGCTTTCATCTAGATGAGACTCATGGCTTGGGAGGAGAGGGGTGTCTCAAGAAATTCTCTTTTGGTTGCCTTAGTTAAGAAAAGTCGAATGAATGAATGAATGTAAATTTTTTGGTGGTAGAAGGGCAGGGGGATTAAACTCTTCCATGTTGATTTTCTTTGAGAAAAGGAATTCTACTTTTTCTAAGTTCCTGGAAGCCATCTCCATGGGTCTGCTTGCAGTAACAGAGTCGGGTCCACTGGGTTGATCAAAGCTAAGCATTGGGCACCAACCACCTTGGAAAATTAGTAAAGAGGTCTGACAAGTACACATGCCATTCACTGGGGTGGTTCTAGTTACTAATGTTATTGAAACTTGTACTTAGGTAGTTTTGTTAATTTTTTGCTTTGGTATTTGTAACTTTAGGACATGTAATGTTTGGTCGGTTTTCTTTTTCCTGTCTTACCTCCTTTTAATTAATTTTCTGCATGTTGCTTTTTTTTTGTATTTGTTTTTAATTCCACCCAATATATTAAATTCTTGAGACACATTAAAATACTTTGCCTGCCAAGGTGTGGTTGGTTTGATAATTACATTACAGGGTATGGTATTACACTCAGAGCCTTGGATGGTGACATGCTGGTCATTAGAGCTGCTTTTTCTGCTGAGAGGAAGAAGAAACCCTCAACATTGGTCTCAAACATAATTTGGAAATTAACCAATCAGCCCTTTGGTGCTCGGGGAGCTGGACTTTTTTTTAAATTTTATTATATTTTTATGTGTGTATTGTCAAATCAGATCTGACTGGTACAGGAGGAGATTGTCCCTCTTTCTCCAGCAGAGGATCTGGTGGATTCTAATCACGTACCTCTGGGATTGCAGTGCAGCTTCTTGCCACTAGGCTACCAGAGCTCCCTGGAGCTGGACATTTTGATTCTATATTCATCGTGCTGCTAATGACTGTATTGTACCAAGTATCTCATGCAGATCCTTAAGGGCAGTACCCGTGACCCCAAATGACTATCTGCTTGCTATCTGCTTGAGCTTGTGTCCACTGGGGGTCGGGGGCGATGTGGCGAGTGAAAAACAAAGTAGGGACCAGGGGATGAGAGTCAGGACAAGCTATGGGCTCAGAGTATCAGCTTTCTCCCCGCCCCCCCGGTGGCCTTCGAGGAGGGTGGCCCCCTGCCCTGTGCACGGGCTGGCAGGTTCACACAGTCTCTAGGATGCACCTTTCTCCCTGGATCTTCAGGACGTTGGGAGGCACAGGCCCAGCCCATCA